AATAAAATCTGTTTTTATTTATTTATTTATTATTTCAAGTTTGATTTTTGTAATCAAACAAATTCTCTCATTTTCTTTATTTCTTTAAATTTTAGTTGTTGTTGTGTACACAATAGAATTAAATCTTTTAAATACAGTGAAAATTGTCCAACAATGTATGCAGTTGGCAAATGGGTGGGTTTAGTTGGGTCAAAATGGATTATGCAATAAAAGAATTTAATAAAATTTATCGTCCAAGATAACATACATACATAGTAAAATTTCATTATGTAAATGTTAGCTTGGACAGGGAAATTTCGTTATCAACATCTCTAATCACTAACGTCATGTTTGATTCATAAGATTAATAGTGAAGTATTAATAATCTTATTAAATTAGTGTGGTATTCACTATCCGATTGGATTAATATCCATTGGATTAATAATCTCACCCCTATCCCATTACTAATAATCCTATAAATTTGTTGGATTAACTATCACCAAAATGTTAAAACAAACATAGGATAATTGGGCCCACGGATTAATAATCTCAATCTCATGCTCTAATCCACCCAATCAAACATGCCCTAAAGGTCATATTTGATTCACAAGACTAATAGTGAAGTGTTAATAATCCTATTAAATTAGTGTGGTATTCATTATCCAATTGGATTAATATCCATTGGATTAATAATCTACATCACTAAGTGACTAGCACTATACTGGTCAATGGATCCATGACAAACACTGGGCCACAGAGTGGTCAATCACTAAGCCAATGGTTATTTAAGTCCCCCAGATCGCCATAAGAAAAGTAACAGAGACAATGTCGAAAAACAAGAGACCACATTAACAATGATGATGGTGAGGGATAAGGATTACATTGGACGTCTACATAATTTCTTTACCTCTTTTTCTCACTCTAAATCAATATAAATCAATGTAGATCTATAGAGTAAGAGGTAGTTTAAACGTTGATTTTGTGTCTATGTTGCAACAAAAATCTTTTATGAAGACACTTATTTATTAAAAACAATTTAGTTGTCCTTTTACCACTAAAAAATATATTGAGGGATATGTGGTTAAAGTTAATACTTTTTTGTGGTTTTCATTATACATTGATGACCTGTAAAATAGGTTAACTAACAGGTAAACATATTAAAATAATAAATAATATTATATAACCACAAACATTCGTAACACAACTCACTAAAACGCATAACCTCGAAAGATAAAAAGCATAACCTACAACTAAAATGAGTAACCTCTCCACAAAAATTCATATTGTTGCCACAAAAATACGTAATTTAACCACAAATTGCATAACAAAAACCATAAAAATTATGGAAACTATAAAATGTTGTAACGTAACCACAAAGTTACATAATGTCACCCACACCCACAAAAGCGCGCAACTTAACTACAAATTGGTGTAGCGAAAAGCATAAAAATTTTGAGAACTACAAAAATGTCGCAATCTATCTACAAAGTTACGCAACGCCATTCACAAAAATAAATAACCTAACCACAAATTAGTGTAATGAAATCTATAAGACTTTTGGTAACCACAAAATGTCGTAACCTAACTACGAACTTATGTAACATCAGCCATAAAAACGTGTAATCTAATCACAAATTGGCATAATGAAAAGCATAAAAATTTTGAGAACCACAAAGTGTTGTAACCTAACCACAAAATTACATAACTTTACCCACAAAAATGTGTAACCTAACCATAAATTGGCCTAACGAAAACTATAGAACTTTTGACAATCACAAAATATCGTAACGTAACCACAAAGTTACATAATGTTACCCACAAAATCACATAATTTAACCATAAATTGACATAACAAAAACTATAAAGTTTTTGGCAATCACAAAATGTCGTAACCTAACCACCTATGAAGCACGGATACGGATATAGACACAGACACGAGACATGGCAATTTTCAAAAAATGGGGATACAGACACGGCGGGAGACACTGCGAATTTTTTTATTATTATATGTTTTTATGTGTTATGTAGATTCATATTACATTCATCCTAAATCAAAATTAACAAACACTAACATAGTAACATTAATTCAATAAATATAACCACTACATTTAAACAAATTAATAGATCATCCATTCACAAAAAAGTCATAATAAACGACAACAAGAATTAAGACGAGCAGGGGAAAACATTCAACATCTAACAATATTCTTCACAAAAGTACTAAATAAGAGAGGCAAAAGAAAAAGAAGAAGAAGAAGGAAAAAAAAAAAAAAAGTGAGCCCCGCTGTGTCCCCTACAAAAAAATCATTAAATTAAAGGAACACGCCATCTGGCGTGTCCCATACATGTCTGCATGTCAGACACTGCCACGGCACCAATTTTGGAGTGTCCATGCTTCATAGCTAACTACAAAGATACATAACGTCAGCCACAAAAATGCAGAACTTAGCTACATATTGACTTAACAAAAAGCATAAAAATTTTGAGAATAAAAAATTGTCATAACCTAACCACAAAGATACATAACGTCACCCACTAAAACATGTCACCTAATCACAAATTGGCGTAATGAAAAGCATAAAATTTTTGAGAACCACAAAATGTCGTAACTAATCATAAAGTTGATTAATGTCACCCACAAACTTACTAACTTACTAACATCCTACTACTATCATTATACATATAATTATTATAAAATGCCGTTTTGATACTCCTTAATATACCACTACTAGGCACATATCTACACTGCTTATCTGTGCTTATTGTTTATCATTACCTATATTAATTATTGTTAATAGGCTTTTCCCAATTATTTTGTCCAGCACAATCTGTTTCATTTTTTTCTTCTTGAAGGCCCCTTACATTTATGCATAGAGTCCAATTTTTATTTTGATGAAACTTAGGTTAGAAACTGATTAAGTCCACAACAATTTTGGCAAAACTTCAAAAATAAATGGAAGAAAAGCTATTGGTTAATGGTTTCATGCAGTTGAAATGATAAGACCAGATATGTAAAGGCATGCACACATTTGGGCATGCGTCTCTTTATCAACATTTAATGGACGGATGAACTTATTCTAAATGCTAAAAATAAAAAAAATAAAAAACAAAACTAATAATAAAAAGTTGGCAACAAAAATTTCATGATAAAATTCAGAAATCATTCAAAATAGAAAGTAGTTTGGATACTTTTTTGTATTCCCAAATTTGAGAATAAATGCTGCAAATAGACTTTTTGTTTTTCATTCTCAATTCCAATTGACATGACATAAACTAGGCATATTTGGAAGAGGTAGGTGCACATTCTCCTAATGAGGAAATCATAACATCTACGATATAAGTAGATTGTTCGGTGAAATTGATCACATAGTCCAATAAAGGCCTCAAATTTATATTGCCAGGGCTACAAATGGAAGAGCTCAAATCGTTTTGATGTACATACAAAAGAATAGGAATCAAAACCTGACATGTTGATATCAAGAGGATGAACTTCAGAGCTTTCATTTCGTTCTTCCTCAGAAGGTGATGAAGGAACTCTTAGAGCCTTCTTACGGACTAGTTCCGATCTTAGATAGTTAGGAGCAAAAATTCAGCAGAAGGTTGTATGTGCTCCATGTGAAGGGGGTCAGGGTATAAAAGCCCTTAAAGACTAGGGTATGTTTAGTTTGATTTTGAAAGAGTAATTATTAAAAATTATTTTGGAGAGAGTTTAGAAATTTTTTTTGGTTTGTTTGGTTGTGTATTTTGAAAGTAATTTTAGAGTTTGGAATGATTTAATATTTTGTTATAATTGAGTAGATGTGTGTGAGAGAAAAAGTGATTGAAAATGAGAGAGGAGAGAGCAAAAGTAATTGATTGATAGGTAAGAGAGTGATTTTAGAAATTGTTTTGAAAAATTTACAAACCAAACAAATTTTTTAGAAAATTTTTCTCAAAATCACTCTACAAATCCAAACCAAACATACCCTAACAGTTTGTGGAGGATGCCTATACCAACCTACCCTTCATGGACCATAAGGGAAATCTTCAAATTTGGAGCTTTAAGGTTGCAATTTATCAGATATATTATTGGAAATGGTCAATCCACTTTGGTATGGAAGTAGTATTTAATTTGGGGAGTTCCTTAAAGCTAAAAGTTTAAGAGACATAATCCATGAAGGAGCATGGAAGTGGCCAAGGCAAAGGGCCAGAAACATTCAAAAGATTATAGCTAATAAGCCCCAAGTCAATCTTCCGTATGACTACTAGACTTGATAATATTAAAGCAAACAAAGACAAGAGCAGGCATAAGACAACCTCTAACAAAGAAGAAAGAACATAAAAAGCGATCAATGGAGCATCAAATATACTCATTTTACAAAGAATATAAAAAGTGATCAAAGAAGCATCAAATATACTCATTTTACCATCATATAACCAATTGTATGTACTACTAGAGTTACTAATAATATGATAGATTTTGAAAAATATAGCAACTAACAAAGCTCTTCAAGTTTCGGGCACAACTAGAATTTTCTCAATCTTCTTGCAACACAGTGAAGAATATAACAAATATACAGAAGAACAATATGTGTAAGAATTAGCTGCATGCCAATTTAACTCCTTTTCGCACACTCTGTTCTCTCAAGTAATAGCTGCAACAGTAAATTAGAACAAAAGAAGACATGATTGTGAGTCAATACACTTGGAAAAGAAAACATATAGTTAATGGCACTCGAGCCTATAATTATTGGAAGAAAAAATAAATAAATAAAAGTGTTATTGATAGAGTTATTGATGATCCAAACCAATAAATAGGAAGAATGCCTTTTCCTTTTGAAGCATCTCACTGATAACATTTAGCAAGCTTGATAACATGAGATGATTAAGAAAACAAATTTTGATACCATTGTTGGCTCATTCTCAGGCTTGGGCCAAACCATGTACTAGGCAGTTTGTCACGTCCCACCAAATAGTCTACCAAGAGGAAATCTCAAGGAAGGGAAGCTAATGAAATATTTCAGAAGACTTGAGAAAATGTGAAAATATGGTACATAATTCTATAATGTACATGGAAGGATCTAGAATAGGTTTTATAGCATTTAAGTGAAGATTGGAGGAATGAAAGCAATAGAAGCTTCTAGAACCTCCTTGAGAAATGGAAGTGGTAAAAGACCCTTGTACCTACTTCTAGAATAAGGTATATTTTTAGGAAGGATTATAGAACCCTCTTGTAGGATAAGAAAAGCTTCCATGAGAAGCTTCTCCATAGTTCTTTTCTTGTGTATTCTAGAATGCTCCTAGGGAGCCTATAAATAGGAGATGAGCTTATTCGCTTCAATCAATCCAAGAGTTGTAAAGCTTTCTCAAAATGAATACGAAAGGTATTCTCTCAAACTCTCATTGTCTTCTTACTTGTCTTTCTTGCAAGTTTGTAAGTTAGACTGACTTAGCATCATCAAGTAAGACTTGAGATTGTTTAAGTGCTGCACGGAATGCTTGGAAATTACCAAGGTCGTGACAAGTTGGTGACTTAAATCAGCTTACTATATGACTAAATTTAAGTAGCTTTCAAGAAAAAATAAGAACAACTTGCATGATTAAATAATTGAAGACAAACCTGTCAATGTATATCCAATGATCTATAAATGAGTAGGAAGATGAATGATCATCAACGACGGAATACTCATCGCTCGTTTTGACAGGTTCGATCAGTGAGTATTGAGCCCCCCTGCCCTTTCAGCATTCTCAACATCACTTCTTTTTGTGAAATTGTGGTCGTCAAAGTAGCCTAGTGTTCTAGGAAGTTCATAAACAATTCCCTTGTGTCCATCCTCCTTCGTGAGTTTCCTGACCGCATCTTCTCTGATGCCATTGACAAATATTAGTTTTCAGTGATAACCATGAGACCACATCTTCAGGAAGGCTGAAAAACCATACTTGCTTTTGATCTGAATAGCAGCTAGGGGCATATTATTAATAAGTAATTAAATAACAACAAGCACCTTTCGATTAATCAAATCCAACGTGCTTTGTATGCAACTCAATTCAAATTCTTGTCTGGCAACTCTTTTCTTGTTTATTGGTCTTCTCTTGCCAAGAAATTTAGCAATAGGCTTGAATTTGAGCCATCTGTTGGTCTGCAAAACTTTATCCTCTTTATTCTTCTTCTTTGTATATTCTTACAAATGCTCAATTCTTTTTCTAATTTCTCTAATACTCGAAATTTCAACAGAAAATGGGTAGCAATATTGTGTTCTCTGTGAAACGATTGATCTTTGTCATCTTCTCCTCCTTCGTGAAGACACGAATAGAAAACCCTATTTTCATGATGATGGATAAGATAGGGTTTGCAGAGGAGTTAGGGATTTTAGGAACGGTTAAGCTGTGATGATTTCTACCCAACATATATAAAGCGAAATTTTAGGAACAGTAAAGTTGTGATGATTTTCATATCTATACAATCTATATAAAGCATGGAGCCAAATATGAACAGTGTTTTTTGAATGGTTAAAAAGTCAATTTTGTCCTTGTGCTTTCAAAATTTGTTTGCTTATAGTTGTTTATGAAAAGATCCATAGTATACCCTCTCTCTCTCTATATCCTCAAAACATCCAAAGAGAATACTAGACTTATAAAGGCGTCCAAAAACTTTCACAGCTTCACATCTAGTTCAATTGACACAAAACAAAAAAAGAGAGCCTAGTTTTCATAATAAATTCACTCAACAAAGTTTATTGATCAATTCAACTGAACAATACAATTTATATCAATATCACCAAAATCACAACCAAAAAATAGAAATAAATCCCTTTTTTTTTCTTTTTTTTTTTTCAAGAGTAGTACCCTAATCTCTACTTCTAGTAGAAACCTATTTAGTACATACAAATTCTAGCTTTAAGAGTCAATTCCAAAAAAACCTAATAATTAGTACGTACTTACAATTTTCAGAAGTGAAAGGATTCTTACTTATTTATTTATTTATTTTTTTTTGGGGGGGGGGAAGGTTCATCGTCTGATCTAAATCATCTCCGGAAACAGTTGCCTATACCATCCACTAAATATAAAAGGAAGTGCTAGAAAAAAGTTCAAAAAAATTGGGCAATAACCAATCAGTTGTATTTTTTTGAATTAGTAATGACTTAAATTTCCTAAACCAATCAATTAACTTTGGCAATAACCATACAATTACATAACCATGTGAACAAAGGAAGAGAATAGAAGAGAGAGAGAGGAGGTATATATATTGTATAGAAATCATCACAGCTTAACCGTTCCTAAAATCCCTAACTCCTCTGCAAACCCTATCTTATCTATCATCATGAAAATAGGGTTTTCTGTTCGTTTCTTCACGAAGGAGGAGAAGATGACAAAGATCAATCGTTTCACAGAGAACACAATATTGCTACCCATTTTCTGTTGAAATTTCGAGTATTAGAGAAATTAGAAAAAGAATTGAGCATTTGTAAGAATATACAAAGAAGAAGAATAAAGAGGATAAAGTTTTGCAGACCAACAGATGGTTCAAATTCAAGCCTATTGCTAAATTTCTTGGCAACAGAAGACCAATAAACAAGAAAAGAATTGCCAGACAAGAATTTGAATTGAGTTGCATCCAAAGCACGTTGGATTTGATTAATCGAAAGGTGCTTCTTGTTATTTAATTACTTATTAATAATATGCCCCTGCTGCTATTCAGGTCAAAAGCAAGTAAGCTTTTCAGCCTAGCTGAAGATGTGGTCTCATGGTTATCGCAGAAAACTAATATTTGTCGATGCGGTCAGGAAACTCATGAAGGAGGATGGACAAAAGGATTTTGTGTTCACATTTTGTTTAAAGTTACCTTTTTAGATAGAAAGACAATTGTTTCTGATGGGTGAAATGGTGCCAAATCTTCAAGGCTACCATTGATCTAGTCTAATTAGAAAATGGCACATCTCAACAACTCATAAGAAAAGGGCTTTAGATTCTTAAATTAAGTAGCTAGTGGACTCCAGCACCTTAGATTGTGGGACCATATTGTTGGAACAATAAAGAAGGCATCAAATATAATAAAGTGATGATACATATTCAAAGAGGCAAGTCCTAATATATCACTGTCCATGCCATCTCTTTGTTGTAATCATGCAAGAAAAAGAATCATGTGGATTAAGAACAGAAAAATCCTAACCTCCCTGCTTGGCAGTAATATAAAATCTGTGGGTGGTGCATCACAGTTCCTTCACTAAGATCTTTGTCCACGAGACTGACTGAAACAGGGATACTAGTGTAGAACACATTATAAGCAATCAAATTGACAGCATTGAGAAGACTGGTACCAGAGACACCTGAAATAAAAGAGAAACTGAATGTGGTCTAGTGATAGTACATCAGAAAATTTTAATAATCAAAGTTGCAGTGCATATAGAATATTGCAACTTTTTAAGGAAAACAACTAGAATGGAGAGAAAGCATAACAAACAGAACATATTCCATGATAACTCACAAGATTTGAATGAAACATATCAGTAGGGATTTATAAAACGAATATTGGGACATAAATGCTGTACGATTGTACGAGCACCTTTGTTTTTTGGGACATATTGGGACATATTTGAGTCTAGTTTGACAAGTAGAGGATGCTAATATATTTATATAGTAAAGCAAAAGCAGCATCAGTATGAATGTTAAGCACAAATTCATTCACCGACGTTCTCTTTGTTTTTTTCCTTACAAATTTCTACTTTCTCCATAACCCATTTTATGCTCCATTTGCTTGCTTGCAAAGAAGACGGGGGGAAAGAGGAAAATAAAATATGCAGTCTCACAACTATATGGGTTGGAATCATTATGATAGCTTTCAGTATTTATCTATTCATGTAGCCTTTGACAAAGCATAATGGCAAAAATAATTCAAGTAACCGACCTCACTTGATTGATTGGGTTTGGAATGAATCATAAAAAAAACACAAGATAAGTATTCACCATGTGGTACAAAATAGAGACAGGGAAGGAGGAGAGAGAGATGAAACAATAGGCACACAAACTCAAAATTATGCCTAATCCTTCGCAAAGAACAAGAGACAATTTGAAAGCAAACCAATGAATACCAACAAACCAAGGGAAAAAGAAAGCAGAAAGGAACCTTAATCATAATTAATAAACCAAATAATAATTCCTGATACTAGCTCAAATTTTCAAACAGCAACAAGCAGCAAGTAAACCACTTGCTAACATTACGATGGAGAATCTACCAAAAACCTGAGTGCATTAAAAAAAAAACAATGCATGGAAATATTGCATATTGCTTGAATAAAATACCAACAATGCAAACAATTAATAAAGGTATTCATCAAATCACATTCAAAGCAGCATGGAAAATCAGAACTTCATACAGTGAGAGTTCATATCTAATAACCCACACCACTCTATGTAATAGATTCAACAAAATAAAAATTCATGGCCAAACCCATCTATCAAGCAAAGACACTGAAAATTAGAATAGAAAAGTAGGCATCTTTGGGAGTAATTTCATGGACCCCAAACTCCAATTACCTGAAGCCCAACAACACAACCTAGAAAAATTCGAATGAGGTGGAAATGTACCAAAAAATATGCACACACCCAAAAAACAAAAAAAAAAAAATCAAATAAATGTAAGGAGAGAGGGATAGAACACAAAACCCTAAAAATTTAAAAGTAAATAAAACAAATAAAAAAGATGGCTAGAAAATTTTACTTGAAAGAAGTCCCTCAATCTCAAGAATATTCATTATGTTTCCAAAAAACAACAAAGCTATGGAAAAAGGTAGCACACAGATGGCCAGAGAGAGAGAGAAAAAGAACATGAAGAAGAAGAAGAAGAAGAAGAGCTAACCTGGTTCAGAGATTGAGAATGACTGAGAGAGTTGAAGAGAGACACGCCGCACCATCGTTGCTGGCTCACCGCCGTCGCACGCTGCTCGCCATCATTTGTCGCTGCTCGCCGTCAAGAGAGAGAGAGTCGTAAGAAGAGATGGGGAAAGATTAGGGATTTTTGGTTTGGAAGGGGGGGAAGAGAGAGAGAGAGAGGAGATGGGGAAAGATTAGGGATTTTTGGTTCAAGGGGGGGAAGATTAGGGATTTTTGGTTAAGAGGGGGAAAAAAATAGCTAAGCCCAGATTTTGGGGGGTTTTTTTTTTGCGACGTCAAGTTTCATACCGTCGCAAAAATATCTTTATTTGTGACAACAAGGGTTGCCGTCGCAAAACACTTGAATTATTTGCGACTGTCGTTGTTGCCGTCGCAAAAACTTGTTCATTTGCGACAGGAAATGGTGTCGTCGCTGAAATCCGATTTATTGGCGACGGCAAGTGGTGCCGTCGCAAAAACTCACTTTTTGTGACAGTAAATGGTGCCGTCGCAAATGTTTCCGTGTTCTATACCCTCTTTTCTTATAGTGGGTTGTAAGCAGTTACAGCACTAGACAACACCCTTTTGGTAGAGCTGTGGGAAAGTAATTATAGATTATAACTTAACAAATTATAGCTTATAGCTGTGAGCACAAACTGGTAACCTGTTTGGTGTAGCTGTGGGATTATAGATTTAAGCAACAGAGTAGTGTTTGATAAATAAGCTGTAAAATAACTTTTTGCTGTGTAATTGTCATTTTTGCCCTTATGAACATAAAAAATTGTAATTTTTTCATTTTCTTCACTTTAAATTTTGAAAAAGTTGTTTTATTAATGGAAGTTGATTAATTAGTACCTAATTTGGTACATTTTTACATTACCTCAAATTTATTTTTTTTTATTTTTTATTTTTCTAATAATATTAAGTTCACAAGAGAACAAAAAAAATCTCATTGTAATAAAAATACAATAAATTACTATTAAGGCAATAAAAATAAACTAATTATTAAAATATAGCCAGCCCAGAAGGATTTTAGCAACCAAAAATTCATATGAAAGTTTCTTTTCCACTTTCACTTGATCATCCTTTAAAAGAAAGATGTATGGTCACAATCAGTTTTCATTGTTTTTTGGGCAAAAAACATATCCTTGTGAAAGTGGTGGTATGGGTGATGGTAGCAGGGCAATGGTTGTTGATTGTGTTGGAAAGACTAATCTATCTCATTATGATCAAAAAAATGTTTCCACTGTTGAGGGAGATATTTTTTTCATTGAAATATTTTTCGAAATATATAATATGTACCAAAAAAAAAGTGTAACAATGTGCATATTTTAATGGGGCTTCCCAATGAATAAATGCTACTCTCCTGCACTTTCTACTTAAAAAGCACAACTGAAAGGTCAGTTTAGGCTATTGCAATATGCATTTACACCACTACAGATGAATTTGTCCATCATCCCCAGTAGTAGTTCTAGGCATCAAAATTCACTCAATCTCTAATTAAACAGGAGCAGCCTCCCAGACAAGTCAACATCCTTGAGTTGTGTAAAAATAATAATAATAAAATATATATAAAGAAAAATGAAAAAAGAAAACATTGCCACAATAGAAGATGGAATATGAAGATAAAATGTCCAAAAGACAAGGGGGAGAATATCCTGCCACAGGCTCTGGCACAAAAGAACACATGAAATTACTCCTGTTGTAAAGTTCACATTCATCGAATAAAATTTCAAAAATGGCACCTACTTCTAATGAAATGTCTGGTACATGATCCACCAAAATTTAAAAAGAAAAAAAGAAGCGCAAATTGTACAAAAAAAAAAAGAAAAGAAAAGCATGTTCTGTTGACATAGAGGGAAGCTATGATCGAGAATGGTATCCTTCTGCACTTTGAGCATGCTTGGAGAAGGTATTCGTCCATTAGGTTTTAGCAGATAAATGGTTTTGCATCACACTAAGGACCACATGCTTCCCAACTCAAATCACCAAAACACAACATCGATCTGCAATGAATCGGAAAGGCAATTTTTTCTTGCCAAAAGGCAAAACGGAAAAGCCTCAGTTGGGTCGAAAAACATGGGACAAAAACACTAATGGACTCATCTTTTCTGACTCCTTCAAAAATGGACTCATTTTTCATCTCAATTTACATTAACAACAAATGAATAAATGTTTTAGGTAGTACCCAAATCACAGAGAAAAATTATAGAAGCAGGATGAAAGATTATCAACAGAGAGATCATGATTAATGATTATTACAAAAAAATTCACATACACAGCTTTTACATAACAATTTTAGCACGAATAGAATCAGGCTAAAAATTAAAACCCACAGATTACTATTCTTATTATTTATTTATTTTCAAAAGCAACAAAACAAATTATTGTACACAGATTATCCATGTAAGGATTATACAAGTTGAATGGGTATCAGCTAGGACACTAATATATAAGGATTATACAAGTTGAATAGGCATCAACTAGAACACTAGTATATTTGTTAATTGCTGCTGCTGCTACTACTACTGAACACTAGTATATAAGGATTATACAAGTTGGATGGGTATCAGCCAGAACACAAGTATATTTGTGTATGGGTATTAGCTAGAACACCAGGGAAAATCTCAAGTGACCGTTAATTAGAGAATTAGGGAAAACTGGAAAACTTCAAAATTGGATTGAATTGAAGACCACTTGATTTCATAAAGTAGCTAGTAAGTATATATATATATATATAAAGGGGCTATATTTACAACAAAATCAAAACTATATCTTATTCACATGTTTTGATATAGCTTTCCAAGGCAAACATTGGAGCTTAGAGCAAGGCTCAACCCATGTAGTTTTGCATTCTTCTCCAGGTCCATCACTTCTCCAGGTTCATCAAGTTTTTATAACAATAATCATAAAATATGTAATATTATCATAAATTAGTATAATAAAAAATATCGTAACTAAATTTTTAGACATTTGGACATTAAACAAAAAATGAAATGATTCCAGGTTTTGCACATGCAGTGAGCCAATACCTACATGTCCTCCTCAACAACTCAACAAGCAAAGAGGTCATGATCATTTGGCACCAACAGATTAGAATATTATAATCATTTGGCACCAAATCAGCTAGAGTGACTTCAAAATTCTAATGATTTTTCCCCAAACAGATTTCTATAGAAAGTTCAATGGCAAGTACTTACACAACTTAAAAGTGTGAATTGATAATTTTTTATTTTTTATTTTTTTATCTTGTCTACACAACTTAAAAGTGTGGCTATCTAGTTATCAAATAAATTAGAAAAAAAAACCAAACTAAACAATAGATAGATAAATCCCAGACTTTCACGCGTACATACATGCACATACACAAATATACACATATATGGCCTTTGGATTTTTCCTGAACTTGAGTTCACACTTCACATACATACCCACACAATTTTCAAAGAAAAGAAAGGGGGGGGGGGGGGGAAAAAAAAGCATCTATATATATTCAGTCATATATTTTCCTCTTCAGAAACAGAGGATACATTTCTTCGAGAGAGAAGAGACAGATAAGGGATATTTAAAGCCAAGGGCAAGATGGAAGAGGCAAATTCAGACGGAGAGGCCGCCTTCAACTCGAAACCAAAGGGTGAATCGAAGCAAGAAGAGAGAGTGTGATCTGATTTTGGTCTGTGTAAACCCTAGCTCAATGTGTGTGTGTGTGTGTGTGTGTGTATCACAAACAAAAGGCATGAACTCTTACCTTTTTGGTGCAATCGATTCAAGAATCGATGGATTTAGAATTAGATCTGAACAAGTAATCGAAATCGAACCTGATGAATCTCTCAAGGAGCATGAGGAGAGACACAGAAAACCTTAGATCTAGAGAAAATGATAGAGAGAGAATGACAAAGACGAAAAGAGAAATAAAGACAGAGCACCGTTATAAAGTGAAACGCATGCTTATAAGAGGATAACGCGTGCTTTTAATTTCACTTTACACCTTCCACAACATTTGTCAAAAAACGTTGCCTAAAAAACGTGGTTATAGACAACTTTTGTTGTAGTGAAACAACGGGGCCGTTTGGTGTAGCTGTTAAAACAGATTATAAATTATAGCTTGACAGATTATAGATTATGGCTTTAATCAGAAGCTGTTAATCTGTTTGGTGTAGCTGTTGGATTATATATTTAAGTTGCTGAGTAATGTTTGTTAAATAAGCTGTGAAGTAGCTTTTTGCTGTGTAAATGTCTTTTTTACCCTTGTTAGTTGTAAATTGAATTTATTTAGACTTTTTTCTATTAATTACATATTAAGAGATCATTCCAACACCAAATTAACATAACCCTATTATTTTTAAATAATAATACAATGAAATAAATATTACACAAACCCTTATTATTGTTGGAGATTGTGATGGCGGTTGGGAACTCATTTTCTATTAAACAAATCATAATAATAAAAACACTTGAATTGCAACAATGATTTGAACAAACCCTTTCTCATAATATTAAAAATCATATCAACAAAAAAATAAAAAAACTAAATGGTGTGTGTGACACATGATAGTACTTACAATTATAGGGTCAATATAATTTAATCTTCATAATTCCTCACAAAATTTTAATGTAATTCATAAGGTAATTTAATGTAATTCCTCATGATAGTACTTAAATTTTAATGTAATTTAATGTAATTCCTCATGATAGTACTTAAATTTAATCTTCATGATAGTACTTACAAAATTTTAATGTAATTCCTCACAATTATAGACAGTGAATAGCACAGGACCATAGTCCTTTAACACACAGCTGGTGTTAAGGATTTGATATTGGGCCTTCATGTTATCAAGGGACCATCAGGTTGAAACCAAAAGGCTGAGAGAGGGCAGTGGTTAGAGCTGTATAACGATCCAATCTAAAACAGTTCGACTTGTGTTCAATTTCTTAAAAGTTCATTTAAGATTAGCTTATTATGTAAACAAATCAAACTAAAACACATTTTGAGGTTTGTTAATTGAATGTGTTAAGCTAAGGTCACAGGCTATGGCTATGCTCAATTGGGGACATTATTCACACTCAGATTATCATATCTATTTCTAATTTGGAAACTTAAATTTCACTGCTCTAGAGGCATTTATGTGTCTGCTGCCAAAAACTTTCCAGGAAAATGTTTCACAAACCAAAGCAACTCGAATTTTAGAATCCTCCTCCTATGGCTACATGTCACCAAGGAAAAAACCAAACCAAACCCGTAAACATCTCTAGTGTGTTCAAAACTTCCCAGGCTTTTGCCTTAAGAATTGGGGACGTCCTAATTCAACAACCATGTCCCCATAAAAAAGCATATAGCCATACATGGACAGAATCAACAAAAACAAAAAGCCTCATAATCATCACAACAAAGATTCTTTCTCTTAGGATGCTGTTACTATCGTTAGACCAGTTATTTATGCTGTTACTATCGTTATGCTTTGTACCCAATTTATGCTGTTACCCAAACAGAGCATTAATAAACCAACTCCTACACAAATTTTTAACATCAAAATAAATTTCCCCAAATTTTTCCTAAACCCTAACTATTCTTATTTTCCCCAATTTGAACAAATTTGAAATACATACATATATATATATATATATATATACATGCTGAACAAATTTAAAATAAAAAATAACCAAAACAATACATATATATATATAAACATGCACGCCGAGCAAGAAAAAGAAAAATCAAAGATGAAGGAAAAGAACCAGAGTCGGAAAGAGAGAAACAGAGAAACAGATCCAGAGTCGGAAACGAATCAGAGCCGCACGTCGCCGGAAGCAAACCAACGCCGGAAACAAACTAGAGCTTCACGTCTCCGGAACTGAACCAGCGTCGCAACTTGCTGCTGCGTTGCTGCTGATCTCTTGCCAAAGAGAAAGATTAGGGCAAAAGAGAAGAATAATCTGTAAGCATCTCTAAGCAGCTTCTCCAATTCAGCTCAAAAAAGCTTTTTTTTAAAACTATAATATGGTGTTTTAAGTTGTACCAAACGCAACATTCTAACTTAAATTAAGTCAAAAATTAAAATAAGTAGCTTATAAATTTTACGAAACAGGGCAAAAAGCGTGGCATGCTTATGCTTCATAGTGACTACTGGAAACGTCTCCATCCCTTCTCTCTCGTTGTTTGGGTGAGATTATTCCATTACTTTTTTAAGTTTAAATATAAGGGAGTTATTTGAATAATAGGTGATTTTTTATTTTTTATTTTTTAATTACGAGTATTTACTGTGGTTAAATTAGATTTTGATAAGGATGTATGTTTAATTGTTCTATTTTGTCAAAGCCAATGAATTTTTATTTTCAAATCATGCTTAGGATTTTTATTTTTTCCCTTTCTAAAATTTTTTTAATTTCCTTTTCTTTTTTTTTTGACGATTTTCCTTCTTTCTTATTTCTTTATTTACTTCCTTCTTTTTCTTTTTTCCATTTTGAAGGATTGTGTGGTTATTTTGGTATTTTGCTTCATTATGTTCAGGTAATAAAGCTTTCATATGTTATTATTTCTTTTACATATTTTTTTATTTATTTATTTTCGCCTTTTGTTGGTAGTTTAAAATATTTATTGGACAAGGATTTCATTTTCTATTTTCTTATTTTTATTTCTTTTGTTCTCCATTTGTAGATGTATTAATTTTGTATATCGGCTCTGTTTGGTAGAGTTGTGGGAAAGTACTTATAGCTTATGCCTCAACAGCTTATAGCTTATAACTTTCAGCTTAAGCTGATTTCCAGCTTATTCTTAAAGCATCTCCTGCCCCACTCAAAGAATAAGCTGATTTCTGACTTCCAAAAAGCTATAAGCTAAACTAAATACATCAAAATAGCTTAAATTAAGCTGAAAGCTGAAATAAGCTGTAATTAAGCTCTGCCAAACAGGCACATCATTTGAAGTCAAGCCTACATCATGTTAGGAAGGAGTAGTGACTATCGTTTTTCTTTGTTTTGATTGTTGCAATATTTTTAGGTTTATTTGTTCTGATTTTTGTTTATTGTAGTAGTTTTAGTTTTTTTTTTTTATTGTAATAGTTTTTTTTTTATAATTTTTTTTACTAATTTTTGGTTTGGTGATTTTGTTTATTTGTTTATTGAATTTGTGTTTGAGTTTTTCTTTTTGTTTTTTTGTTCGTAGTAGCTTCTTTTTTTTCTTTTTTTTTTTGCTCTGAATTTGTAGTTCTTTATTTCTTATTTTGTTTCTTTTGAATTTGTTTCTTTGTGTTTGTTAGTAGTTGATTTTGGTAGTTTTTGAGTTGTTCTAAATTTTTGTTTTGGATTTGGGCTTCGGTGAAATCCCCAACCTATTGAAATATTATTTAGTAGACAAACTTTTTTTTTTTTTTGAACCAAGATGTTTTATGATACCTATGAGATTATAGATATTTGATTGTGCTTTGGTGAAATTACTAACCTATGTTGGGATTTGTTTTGGGCAACAAAATTTCACTTTTATTGTTATTCTATCAAGTTTTCTCCTTTCTTGGTGGTGGTGGTGCTGCTGCTGCTGGTGCTGCTGCTGCTGCTGGTGGCTCTTAGGTCGAATGGTGTTTAGTTTTGATTATGGAAAAACTGTATAACTTGTAGTCTTGGCCAATGATTATTTTTGCCTCATTACGTGTCTTTTGTGAAATGGGTTTGCAAAAAGTCACCATATTTTTATAAAAAAAAAAAAATTATCATTGATTTTATTTATTTGATTGAATTGAAAATATATCATTGATGTGAAAAGTTCAATAAACCTCAACAATTTCTTAATATAACTGTTAAACGTCCATTTGAACTGTTAAAGATCCAATTTTTTCTTTTCATTGCTTTGTTTTGGTTTGGAAATGACTTTTGTTTGAGTTTCAATCACAAAAGAGAATTATACTACATTAGTATGAATCATGTTTTAATTTGATTGAGGTTCAATGTCTTGGGCCACTATGGAGGGTCAAATAGAAATGTGAGGAAAACTACACATAGCGATTGGAGTCTTGGCCAATGGTTTGCTTCATATTTCGTGTTTTTATATACCTGTGTAATGTGACATTGCAATGAGTTTTATAATTTTCTCTATTACCTTTATTCTTTGATTGAATTGAAGAATATATCTATGGTATTGATTAATTTAAAGACAAGCCTCTATCTTCATGAGTTGCTCTTGACTTCTTAAAGTTTATTTTTCCTTTAATGTATTGTAAGCTTTTCAAAACTATCATTTCCCTCTTCGCCTTCAGGTTTTTTGTTTATTTGGTTTAACCTTTTTTCCTGATAAAAAAAATGCTTTAAAAATTTTTGGAGTAAATTTTATTGGATAAAAGACAATTTTAGTCCTTAAAATATGTGTTCTTTATCATTTTAATCCAAATTTTATTTTAGCTAATATGTGGTCCTTTTTCTTTTTTCATTTGTGTATCATTTAATAAAGAAATTGTAGTTATATAGTAGAAATCATCTAGACATGGGTATGTATTTCTTTTTTCTGTGCATAAATATGGGTATTGGGAGATTTGCTGTAGGCCAAAATTAAACTTTCTCTGTCTCTATTTTAGGGAAATAATGGATTTTGTGACAACAATATAGTTTGTTGAATACATAGGATTAACAAGATCAAGGTGAGTACATTCTAATTTTTAGCTATCAAAATTGCTAGAACCACAAATTAAAGGTAATTGTTACTTGACAATTTACACACCTAATATTTCAGATAATCGTTATAATGACCTCAAGCATTATGTTCATTATTTTAACTTAGACAAAACAAAAACTGCATTGAATAAATTATACACAAAATGTAACCATTGATGGCGTAGGCTACTTTTATTTTTATTTTTATTTTTTTTAATCAGCAAAGAAAATAAACTTTATTGATGAAGTGGAAAAACTAATACATCAATAAAGGAAAAAGAGGATGAGTGCAAAAAGCATCATAGCGAGCCAAATCAATCCCAACTAGGTTGGCACCAATAAAACCGCCCAATCATATGCTAGCACACCATCAAGAGTTGGTGAGTAGCCAACCACAAACACCCAAAAACAACCTCACCAGACAAACCAAATCTACACTTCACCACATCTACACTTCAATACTGAATAACAGCAAAACATGCTTTACCACCAACTTTCAATCCTCACATCACAACAAATTCAGCAGCAGCACAACACAGTATAGGCCATCCCATCAACAACACTCAACAAACAAAATACCAATTCAACAAACAGAATATCAGTTCAGACCAGTAATATCAGCAGCATCTCCATATACAACTCCCAGTGGCAAAGACTGAGAACCACATAGACAAGCCTCAGCTTCACTCCGAAAGCAATACTGAACCATCATCAGTAGATCAACCCAGCAACCGAATACCACCACCAACTTGTAGCCAATTTTCCACCCAGGACTTGTATCCACTGCTTAGCATTGCAGACCAAAGTAAATTCCTTATGACAAAACAACACAACAGCAGACCCACATCAGCCCAACAGCAGCCCAAAAGCACAACAGATCAACAAACCATAGCATAGGAGCCTCCGCTGAGCAACTACACTTCTGTACTGAACAGCAACAGACATAACTTGTAGCTTCACCACCAGCTCCAAATCCTCACATCAGAGCCCTACTGCCCTGAACTTCATCCAATCAGCCAGAAACAAAACCAAGAAATGAACTTAATAACCAATCTGCCATACATTAGATATAATATCAGACACAGAGTAGGGAAAATTTTCCATCTTAGATTTTGTCTAGACAGCCACTATGAATTTCACCATATCTTCTAATTCCACAAAATTAGGATGAGCATTACTAAACAAACATTCATTACGTATTTTCCAAATTGACCATAGCATGGCCAGAGGAACAATTTTTCAAATTTCTATCACATTCTTTTTTACTTCAAAACCATCCCACCAACTCAGCAAAGATTGCACAGACCCAGGAGTAACCCAACACAACCCCCACCAACCCACAATCCCAGACCATACTTTCCAGATACAACCACAAGGCAATAATACATGATTCTGTGACTCCACCTCAGATTTGCAAAAGACACAAAGAATGTTTGCATCAGGCTTCAACACTCTAATCCTTTGCATAAAGACAGCAGATTTCATCCTACCTTTCCATGCTAACCACGTCATAAATTGAACCCTAGAAGGGGCAATATTCTTCCAAATGGCCTTAGCAATTCTTAGATTAGACCCTTTATTTGACTCCATCCAACTCCACATTGAGGCTATAGAAAAGGTTCCGGATAGATGAGCCAACCATGTGCAAGAGTCCTCTGCTTAGAAAACAATTTGTTCCTCATTATTTTAACGAACAAAATGTTTGTATTTCGAATGATCAAGTCTAAAATGTTTGGTATAATTTCATAATTACACTTTTGTTTTCATTTTCTTATCTATTGAGTGCATTTCTAATTATGTTTAAAACCATATGTTCTGTTTTGTGTCTACATGTTGGGAGGTAGAAAAGAGAAATGTGATGATTTATTTTTATTTTTTTAATTTATTATTGAAATCAATTTTTGTTGTTATCTATATGAATCAAGTTAGTTTTACAATTTTTTTTTATAGCCAGTTCAAATATAAAAAAATGATGTACAATCACTTTCTTGATCTCTTATTTTTCTTATACAAAATGTCTGAGATTAATAAGTAATATCGATTAAATTTTCACAGTCAATGTCGAGTGCCCATTTATTTATTTATTAATGTTTTGTTCTTCATATGTGCAAGTCTTTAATTTTGTAGCATTTTTGCTCCCCGCTACCCTGGAAGGGGCAATATTCTTCCAAATGGCCTTAGCAATTCTTAGATTAGACCCTTTATTTGACTCCATCCAACTCCACACTGAGGCTATAGAAAAGGTTCCGGATAGATGAGCCAACCATGTGCAAGAGTCCTCTACTTAGAAAACAATTTGTTCCTCATTATTTTAACAAACAAAATGTTTGTTTTTCGAATGATCAAGTCTAAAATGTTTGGTAT